CAACTGCAGCCAACGTGATCAGGGAATGCCTAAATATTTTTGAGGACCATTTTTGAAAGAAATTGGTGAATTTTAGGAGAAACATCGATGAGGAAAATGCAGTTAAAGAATATTTCTATGAGAAATACGGATTACCTGGGGTTATTGGTTGTGTTGATGGAACACACGTTCGTATTAAGTCGCCAGGAAGTGACAGCCACCATTTATACCCCAACCGCAAGGGTTTTTACAGTCTTAATGTAATGACGGTAGGTTAATAATTTACTATCTTTACAAGTATACATATACACAAACTGAGTTTCCTTACAGATATGCGATCACAACATGGTAATCACATTTGTTGACGCTAGGCATCAAGGGGCGAATCATGATTCATTTGTTTGGAATGTGAGTCACGCAGAACAGGAGCTAAAATCTGATTATAACAATGGAAAAACCAACACATGGCTACTCGGTAAGTTTTAAAACTTAAAAAGGCTATAAAACTATTACTGACAATGAAAATTTTTGTAGGTGATTCTGGTTACCCCTTGCAGCCATACTTGATGACGCCATTCAGAAAATATATTTAAATGGCATAATATGTGTTGAAGAAAAAAGTGACCACGGTGGCACAGAGAAGAAGTTTAACTTTTCCTCGAGTTGTGTGAATAACAAGCACAACCAATTTGACAGCTAACGAGCTTTGATTGAGATTATATTTATATGTAAACCATGATTCAATTATTAAAGGTTTTGTAAGTAGCTTGTTTCTAAAACTTGACACTCCCATCCACAGGGATGGTTTATGGAAGCAGGAGAAAAACGGGAAGAATTCAATCACACTTCCTAAAATTCCATAAAAAGAATTTGATTTAATTATTTAATTTAAACAAGCTTATTTACATCGAATATAATAATGATTGTTATTAAAAATAAATATATGTATGTAAATATAAATATGTATGTATGTACATATATACCAAACTTGCGTACGTCACACGGTGCATAACTCGAGAATGGATGGTCCACTTTGAACTTTTTTGTTGTTGTATTTGTTTGCCAGATGCAGAATGTCCAGATTTGGCGATTTCGCGATCTCGCGCGTAAAAATATTGGGAATCTCCATTGGCGATTTTTGGCGATTTGTGGCGATTTTTCCCTTCAAATAAATTTTTTCCAATTATAAAAATAAACAAAACTTAGTTTTCCACGATAATTTTATAGAAGAGGCTAATGAACTGCGTGATAAACTTTACTTAAAAAGCATATTAAAAGACTGTCAAAAATGTTTAATCACCCTAATCCAAGTACTTTTGAAACGATTACCTAGTCAATTAAATACTTATAAAAAAGCTTTGATTTTGTCACCAGAAAAGTGTGTGAATCCCAAGAGAGCGAGTTTCAGGGACCTGCCAATTCACTATTTGACTTTTAAGGAAAGGAAAGCAGCGGAAACGGAATATTTAAATCTTTTGACTTTCCCATGGAATAACTTTTCTCAGAACCATTCCATCTGACTCTGAAGAATTTTGAATATCAAACAGTAGGGGTATTCTCGAAGTCTTGCACGATGCACGGATTGCACGAAATGCAAAAATACTGTTCCAAATTTCGAAGAGTACGAGAGCACCCCATTGCAAAGTGGTAGCAAGCAGCGAAATTATGTATCAAATAAAATAACAAGAGACAGCAAAAAAAATGAAGTGAGCGAGATGAGGGGAATAAGGGAAATATGTAGCAATTCCAACAACAAAACAACTAGCACAGGGTCGCATTTATCTTGCTATGCTATTTTGCAAAATATATACATGGGTTTCGACGTTGCATATTTTGCAGCGATAGGAAATGATACATGAGAAAATGTATTTTCTTGTTGTGTGTTTGCAAGTTATGCAATCCATGCAATCCGTGCTACGTGCAATGGCTGTGCAAGATTTGGAGAATACCTCTAGTATGTTATCAAGGTTGAATAGCTCAATATATGACAACAACAGAAATGTATATCATTCAGACGCTATAGGTGATTTTGAAGAAATTGTGGAAATAGCTGATCTCGCCTTATTATAGGATTTTATTTAATTTTTAGCGCCGAGCTCTTAAAAGCGGATTGTGCGATTAATCAATTAATGTGATTTATAATAAATATAATAATTGCGCAGTCCTATTGCAACTGTCAGAATATTAATCATTGGCTTACACAGCCGCAATTGGCGATACGTGCCGTACGAACTCAGGAAGAATAAAGAGAACGAGCAGCTACTGAACGACTGAGACAGGGTACGTGATCTGCATCGTCAAATGAGAAGTGCCGTAAGTGTGCAATTACATCGCGCCATTAACTAAACCGAGCTGTCGTGTGACGATTGGGCCCATGGACACGGTTTGGCAATATTATATTGTGTCAAAGTCTCATTCGGCGATACCAAGATTGTGTTGTGGAGGGCAATACCTAAATACATTCGTTGGCTCATTTACCAGAACCATTGCGCACTTTACTTTACAGCGACTTGGCAGAATCAAGAGGTCCCCACGAATATCGAAAAAATATATTTCGGCATTTAAGGGAATTTCGTCTCTTTAGCCTACATTGAATTTCTGTAGTCCAACGATTCTTACCCATTTTGTCTTGTTGTCGGCAGCGAATGAAGAACAAACATTTCTTCAAATTTAAAAAGTAAAAATTTCACTACTAAAAATTTAAAAATGTTCTTAAAACTTGCAAACAAATTTGGAAAAGAAATAACACTGCTTTTGTTTTTGGGAGTAGGGTGGGAGTGTCATTGATAAAATTAGAGCGATTGAAAGTTTTGCTTACAAAACCTTTCATTATTGAATCATGTATGTAAACGTACTTTTATGCTTTGCCGTTCGCATATGTTTACACATCAAATTTCATGAGTACCTAGTACTCACGCCTTTTTTTTAATATAAACGTAATACATGAAACCGTATTATAAAGTACTTGGTTCTGAAGAAGTACAAATGCGCACATCAACAGGAAAAAGAAAGACGCAAAACCATGTGACGCTTGCGATTGAAACTGCTGTGGAAAAAATTAAGATGCTATGAGCAAAGCAAAAAGGATTTCCGAATCCACCGTGAAAAAAATTCGAGCTCAAACAGAAATGGAATGTGCAAAAAGTGTTGAAAAAGTGAACGTGGAAAGTGGTGGTACAGTTCAAATGAACCGCCGAAAATTTCGTTCTCAGCGGGGGGAAATATTGAAGGGTTGGGCTTGTCCGAACAAGAGTCCGGAGAGTATATTGAATATTCAGAATTGTCCAAATCGGAATCAGACTTTTTTTACAATCCTTCGCCCCCACATACAAGTGTAGATAGCTGTGAAGAAATTATGTCGTGGGCTGTTACGTATAAGGTCTCACAAAAAAAAAAAAAATTGATTTGTCGATGTCTGCAAAAGCTCTTTTCAACAGAAGCAGAGAAAAAATTAATGTTGGAGCGATTCCTGGAGGTGAATTCCTATACTTAGGAATTCAAAACTATTTTCAGTCTAATAGTTTTGCTTATTTACAAAATAAGGAAGTTTTAATTGACGTGGGGGTCGACGGCTTAAATTTGTTCAAAAGCTCAAATCGTGTTCTTTGGCCAATCCTTGGAGCTATAGTGGGTATTCCTAATGCCAGCCCTTTTATGATAGGTTGCTTTTCCGGTTTCAAGAAACCACAAAATATAGACAGTTTCATGACAGATTTTTGTGCTGAAGTGAAATTACTTAGAACAAATGGAATTCAAGTTGGCTTTAATCTAAGGCGTTTAAAATTTAACGTGCTTTTTTTTTCATGTGACTCTCCAGCTAGGTCATTTTTAACTCGTGTTATTGGACATAATGGGAAAAACGGATGTCCCAAATGCTGCCAGGAAGGGAAATTTAAAAAAAACAGGGTTTGCTTTTCAAAACAAGTTGGAGCATTCAGGACTGATTTTCTTTCCAATCTCGATCTAATCTTTATCATCACAGTGGAGAATTTAAACAAAAAAGAACATTTTAGAAAGAAAGCACACTCTTCTCACAAAATAACATCGCACTATCATCAGAATAACATCGCGTTTCCTTACCTTATGCTCCTGCCATCACCAACACATTGAAACACACCTTCGAAAAATCTAATTTGCAAATCGTATACACAAACAACAATAAACTAAGATTCGCGCTTGGTTCAACGAAAGACAAGTTGCCGATAGAAGATCAAAGTGGAGTATACGAAGTAACTTGTTCGCATTGCGGCTGTAAATACATTGGACAAATAAGGAGGGCGCTGCGTGCTCGAATCGAGGAACACCTGCGTGCTGTACGGCTGAAAAAGATGGACAATGCTATCGCCGCGCATGCATTGGACCTAAACAATTCTCGCTCTCACAACACAATATCCATGGAAGAAAACGTTCGTTTACTTAAACACGTTAAAACCCCAGCTAAACTAGATGCCTATGAATCCCTTTTCAACGCTATTAATGATAACTTAATGAATCTAGAACACGGTGCAATTGAATCTCCTCTATTTAATTGTATCAAAAACTAAATGTTTGTTTATATGTTTATACAGAACTTCCAACTGTCTCTCTAATGTAACTTCAATGTCAATTCTAATGTAACTTGTATGTATGTATAATTGTAAGCATCTATTATGTTTCTATTGCCCTGTCTACTTTTGTCGTCTTGATTAGTGTTCACTTGACGCTGGCTGATGATGGTTGCTCAGTTGTCAACCGAAATGCATCGGTGAAAAACAATTAAAACCCCAATTTACAACAAACAAACAAATTGAGTTTTTATTATACGAAATTTTGCGGTCTATAAGGTTACACAAAAAAATTAAAAAACTGAACATTTTAGAAGTAACAGACTTTAGAATGGTGACACAATTCCCCCTGACAGCATGCACTTAGTAGACTTAGGGGTTACTAAAAAAATTCTTAAATTTATTATTAAAAGAGCGAAAGTAACAAACATAAATGAAAAATTATATTTTATTGCTAATTATGTCCCATCAGAATTTAGTCGCATAGCTAGGAGCTTAGATGAAATAAATGCGTGCCAAATGCGAAATGGAAGCTCAGAATAAGCCATTGCGAGAGTGTAAAGTCGTGGCGAAAAAAATCGAGAGGTCTGTTCTTAGAATGACCGGTGAAATTCAAGATGGTAACTTGAATGACGTCGCAAGTTCCTTACCACTACAGTCCTCCAGCGCTGTAATAGAAATCGAACAAAAATTAAAAGAGCCAGAATACGCGCAAGCAATGGTAAAAAATTACATAAATGTATGATTGCATACCTATTTACGAATTTAATTCTTAACAATTATTTTCTAGATTACGTTTATCCACAAAATAAAGGGTTTGTCTGAGAACTTAAGCAGAGTTATCCGGAGCATTTTTTCTGACGATGTGCTGGAGCTCTACAACTGGGACGGTACGTGGGAGAAAATTGTTGCTAGTGGACAAAATTTTGCGAGGTAAATATTTATGTTTATCTTTGAATATCTTTCTTTATCACTTCCTCTTATATTTAAGTAGATGTTTTTAAAAAACAAGGCACGATGGAGTTTGAAAAGGCCATAAAAAAGGCAGTTGAGTTAAGCCACCACCGCGTTCACCAGAAAAAATATTTAAACAAAAACCCAAGGAAAATAAGTAGATTTAAGGTTATTTTTACAGTTAAATTTTCATCTAGTTTTACTACACCATCATTTTTTTTAAATAACATGAAATGAAAACNTACCACGATTGTTTATTAGGAAAAACTGAAAAAGCAACAAAGTCTAAGCGGTAGAAGTTATAGCAGCTATTTCGGAGATCACCACATCTCCTTATCAGACTTCTTTTTTCTAGACTTCAGCAGGGATCGAACCTGCGTAATCGATGATCAAAGTCAGAAGCGTTAACCACTGAGCTATGTACATCCCGTTTTTACATTTTCATGTTGTTTAACTGCCCAGTTGAACTCATATTTTTTTTACTCTACATTAAAGTGGTCCAAAAATGTATTTGAAAAAATTAGGTCGGATTTTTAATGCCGCTACCGCCTAGGATTGTTCTATACCGAAAGAAAATATACCCCTATTTTTTTATTTTGAAATAAAAAAAAAAATTAGGGAGGGCTCAAAGCGCTCAAGGTTTCCATGTATTTTATATGGGGAAAAAACAACTTTTCGTAGAAATAGTGTAGGGTTCTGGAAAATCATTATTTTTCAAACGGAGAACTTTGCTTATCTTCAGAAAATAATGCCCAATTGTTTCATTAACCATTTTTTCATGCTAACTATATTTTATAGGTCCTCCAAAACCGCAAAGAAAATTCAATGGGGGACGAATAAAAAATCTTTAATATTAGAACATGGTTAAATAAACAATTGGATATTAATATTGGAAGTCTCCTGAAGAGAACCACAGTTTTCCGACCGAAAAATATTAATTTTCAAGAACTTTATATCATTTCTATGAAAAGTTCTTTTTTTCCCCATATAAAATACATGGAAAACTTTGAGCGCTGTGAGCACTCCCTAAATATTTTTTGATTTCAAAATAAAATAAATAGAGGTAGATTTTTTTCGGTTCAGAACAATCCTAGGGGGTGGCGGCTTTCGGGTTTCGGTAGGGGTAAAATTTGCGAAGCTGTAACGCATATCCCAGCAAAAATTTCGAAGGGCTTAGCATGTGTATTTCAGCATAAAATTTGTATTTTCATTAGAAGCACCCTGTGTTTGCTTTTAAATGGTTGCATAAATTTAGGAGGAAATGCGCTACAATTGATTATTACTTCCGATTATTTAAACTCCGCACATGCATACGGCTTTGTATCTATATATGTACATAAATATGTATGGACTGATTTGTTGCAACTGGGCATGAATCGTTCAAACGATACTGACAAAACGATGTTGTCAAAACACTGATTTATGCATTTGTGTTGCTGTTACGTATTACTGTTACTGTTACGTGAAGCAAAACTGGAATCGAGTTGACGATATCGCACAAACGATCAAACAATTTTTGATTTTTATGAAGCAAGACAATCTCGACACGATATCGTTCAGACGATTGTCGTCATACGTGATTCATGCCCTGGTTTTGATATTCGTAGATGGTTTTAGGCATAGGTTTAGTAGTCTATTTTGATAAAAAAGCAAGGCGAAAATTTAAAAAAATACTGAAATCATTTTAACTGGGACCGTTGATAACTGATGAATATACATGAATATATGTATGTATAATATGCATATGTATGGATGATATAATAGCTCTGATCCAATACTTTTCGTGTAAAATCCTGGATAAAGGTCAAACAGCAAAATCACTCTCTGACGTGAGAGTAAAAAGTGAGTAACAGCAAAACGTACGAAACAAAAAAGCATCGGGTAAAATCCTGCAACTTCAATCTCTACACAGCTCTCCCAAAAATCGCTCAGATTATATTCCGAAAAGAAAAACTAAATTTAGGAATATATACAAATAGAAATGCTCAAACTATAAGCTCAAAAACAATAACTGATGCGGTGTTTCCAAGATATTTTAACGTCCTTGAGTCACAAGTATATATATAAGTATCATATTTTATCAATCATACCGATAATTTCATGTATTGAAAGAATTAAAAATGAAAATGAATACAAAAATTAAATTAGCAGAATGAATAAAATTAAGTGAAATTAATGTTTAATTTCTAACCTAACCTACATTTGTATGTATGTAACTGAATCGCCTTATAACAGCTTTACATATAAAAAGATTATCCTAATTTTCGAGCTTAACTCCCTAATCTGTTATTAGAAAAAGAGATTAGCCATGCAAAATTATAATTCAAAATATCTCAGATTAAACCGATAACTTTTTGGTGTCCAACCTAGTTTTATCGATTATACTTGCGAGGAAGAGGAGGAATGTCAAATGTTAAAGTAAACAAAAATTGACGCTAGTAAGGAAAATAGGTTTGTAAAGGCATTTTTAATAAAATATTCAGTTAAAATATATTGAAATGGCATAATATGTGTTGAAGAAGAAAGTGACCACGGTGGCACAGAGAAGAAGTTTAACTTTTCCTCGAGTTGTGTGAATAACAAGCACAACCAATTTGACAGCTAACGAGCTTTGCTTGAGATTATATTTATATGTAAACCATGATTCAATTATTAAAGGTTTTGTAAGTAGCTTGTTTCTAAAATTTGACACTCCCATCCACAGGGATGGTTTATGGAAGCAGGAGAAAAACGGGAAGAATTTAATCACACTTCCTAAAATTCCATAAAAAGAATTTGATTTAATTATTTAATTTAAACAAGCTTATTTACATCGAATATAATAAAGATTGTTATTAAAAATAAATATATGTATGTAAATATAAATATGTATGTATGTATATACCAAACCTGCGTACGTCAGACGGTGCATAACTCGAGAATGGATGGTCCACTTTGAGCTTTTTTGTTGTTGTATTTGTTTGCCAGATGCAGAATGTCCAGATTTGGCGATTTCGCGATGTCGCGCGTAAAAATTTAGGGAATCGCCATTGGCGATTTTTGGTGATTTTTCCCTTCAAATAAATTTTTTCCAATTATAAAAATATACAAAACTTAGTTTTCCACGATAATTTTATAGAAGAGGCTAATGAACTGCGTGATAAACTTTACTTAAGAAGCATATTAAAAGGCTGTCAAAAATGTTTAATCACCCTAATCGAAGTACTTTTGAAACGATTACCTAGTCAATTAAATACTTATAAAAAAGCTTTGATTTTGTCACCAGAAAAGTGTGTGAATCCCAAGAGAGCGAGTTTCAGGGACCTACCAATTCACTATTTGACTTTAAAGGAAAGGAAAGCAGCGGAAACGGAATATTTAAATCTTTTGACTTTCCCATGGAATAACTTTTCTCAGAACCATTCCATCCGACTCTGAAGAATTTTGAATATCAAACAGTAGGGGTATCCTCGAAGTCTTGCACGATGCACGGATTGCACGAAATGCAAAAATACTGTTCCAAATTTCGAAGAGTACGAGAGCACCCCATTGCAAAGTGGTAGCAAGCAGCGAAATTATGTATCAAATACAATAACAAGAGACAGCAAAAAAAAATGAAGTGAGCGAGATGAGGGGAATAAGGGAAATATGTAGCAATTCCAACAACAAAACAACTAGCACAGGGTCGCATTTATCTTGTTATGCTATTTCGCAAAATATATACATGGGTTTCGACGTTGCATATTTTGCAGCGATAGGAAATGTTGTTTCTCAAGTATTTTCTAGTTGTGTGTTTGCAAGTTATGCAATCCATGCACTCCGTGCTACATGCAATGGCTGTGCAAGATTTGGAGAATACCTCTAGTATGTTATCAAGGTTGAATTGCTTAAATATGACAACAATAGAAATGTATATCATTCAGACGCTATAGGTGATTTTGAAGAAATTGTGGAAATAGCTGATCTCGCCTTATTATAGGTTTTTATTTAATTTTTAGCGCCGAGATCTTAAAAGCGGATTGTGCGATTAATCAATTAATGTGAGTTATAATAAATATAATAATTGCGCAATATAATAATTGCAACTGTCAGAATGTTAATCATTGGCTTACACAGCCGCAATTGGCGATACGTGCCGGACGAACTCAGGAAGAATAAAGAGAACGAGCAGCTACTGAACGACTGAGACAGGGTACGTGATCTGCATCGTCAAATGAGTAGTGCCGTAAGTGTGCAATTACATCGCGCCATTGACTAAACCGGGCTGTCGTGTGACGATTGGGCCCTTGGACGCGGTTTGGCAATATTATATTGCGTCAAAGTCTCATCCGGCGATACCAAGATTGTGTTGTGGAGGACAATACCTAAATACATTCGTTGGCTCATTCACCAGAACCATTGCGCACTTTACTTTACAGCGACTTGGCAGAATCAAGAGGTCCCCACGAATATCGACAAATATATTTCGGCATTTAAGGGAATTTCGTCTCTTTAGCCTACATTGAATTTCTGTAGTCCAACGATTCTTACCCATTTTGTCTTGTTGTCGGCAGTGAATGAAGAACAAACATTTCTTCAAATTTAAAAAGTAAAAATTTCACTACTAAAAATTTAAAAATGTTCTTAAAACTTGCAAAGAAATTTGGAAAAGAAATAACGCTGTTTTTGTTTTTGGGAGTAGGGTGGGAGTGTCATTGATAAAATTAGAGCGATTGAAAGTTTTGCTTACAAAACCTTTCATTATTGAATCATGTATGTAAACGTACTTTTATGCTTTGCCGTTCGCATATGTTTACACATAAAATTTCATGAGTACCTAGTACTCACGCCTTTTTTTTAATATAAACGTAATACATAAAACCATATTATAAAGTACTTGGTTCTGAAGAAGTACAAATGCGCACATCAACAGGAAAAAAGAAAGACGCAAAACCATGTGACGCTTGCTATTGAAACTGCTGTGGAAAAAAATTAAGATGCTATGAGCAAAGCAAAAAGGATTTCCGAATCCACCGTGAAAAAAAATCGAGCTCAAACAGAAATGGAATGTGCAAAAAGTGTTGAAAAAGTGAACGTGGAAAGTGGTGGTGCTTGCAGTTCAAATGAACCGCCGAAAATTTTGTTCTCAGCGGGGGGAAATATTGAAGGGTTGGACTTGTCCGAACAAGAGTCCCGAGAGTATATTGAATATTCAGAATCATCCAAATCGGAATCAGACTGTTTTTACAATCCTTCGCCCCCACATACAAGTGTAGATAGCTGTGAAGAAATTATGTCGTGGGCTGTTACGTATAAGGTCTCACAAAAAAAAAAAATTGATTTGCCGATGTCTGCTAAAGCTCTTTTCAACAGAAGCAGAGAAAAAATTAATGTTGGAGCGATTCCTGGAGGTGAATTCCTATACTTAGGAATTCAAAACTATTTTCAGTCTAATAGTTTTGCTTATTTACAAAATAAGGAAGTTTTAATTGACGTGGGGGTCGACGGCTTAAATTTGTTCAAAAGCTCAAATCGTGTTCTTTGGCCAATCCTTGGAGCTATAGTGGGTATTCCTAATGCCAGCCCTTTTATGATAGGTTGCTTTTCCGGTTTCAAGAAACCACAAAATATAGACAGTTTCATGACTGATTTTTGTGCTGAAGTGAAATTACTTAGAACAAATGGAATTCAAGTTGGCTTTAATCTAAGGCGTTTAAAATTGAACGTGCTTTTATTTTCAAGTGACTCTCCCGCTAGGGCATTTTTAACTCGTGTTATTGGACATAATGGGAAAAACGGATGTGCCAAATGCTGCCAGGAAGGGAAATTTAAAAATAACAGGGTTTGCTTTTCAAAACAAGTTGGAGCACTTAGGACTGATTTTTCTTTCCAATCTCGATCTAATCTTTATCATCACAGTGGAGAATTTAAACAAAAAAGAACATTTTAGAAAGAAAGCACACTCTTCTCACAAAATAACATCGCACTATCATCAGAATAACATCGCGTTTCCTTACCTTATGCTCCTGCCATCACCAACACATTGAAACACACCTTCGAAAAATCTAATTTGCAAATCGTATACACAAACAACAATAAACTAAGATTCGCGCTTGGTTCAACGAAAGACAAGTTGCCGATAGAAGATCAAAGTGGAGTATACGAAGTAACTTGTTCGCATTGCGGCTGTAAATACATTGGACAAATAAGGAGGGCGCTGCGTGCTCGAATCGAGGAACACCTGCGTGCTGTACGGCTGAAAAAGATGGACAATGCTATCGCCGCGCATGCATTGGATTTAAACAATTCTCGCTCTCACACCACAATATCCATGGAAGAAAACGTTCGTTTACTTAAACACGTTAAAACCCCAGCTAAACTAGATGCCTATGAATCCCTTTTCATCGCTATTAATCAGGGACGTGAACCGGTTTTGAACCGGACCGGGTTTGAACCGGAAAACCGCTTTTTTCTATTAATTAACTGAACCCTTAACCGAACCGAAATTTTCCACAAATGGTTGATCCGAACCGAAAACCGAACCACGTTCCTAAAGGTTTAAAGGTTCATTTCAACCAATTTTCAATAGATAAATGTACCCACTTTGTTTTCTTTTTGGTAAACCTACCATGTTTTTTTAGCATGTGACAATATCAAATGTAAAGGCAACCCATCTCATTTGACAGACACTTGACCCTTAACCTTGCGCGCTGTTGCACTTGACACTTGACACTTAAACTTGCGCGTTATTTTTTTTGTTTTTCGAACCGTTGAACCGAACCGAAACCCCGGTTCAAAGACCATGAAAACCGCTTTGACGAACAAATCCAAAAGTGCAAAAACGGTTCGAACCGCTTAACCGAACCGACCAAATTTTTCATCCGGTTCACGTCCCTGCTATTAATGATAACTTAATGAATCTAGAACCCGGTGCAATTGAATCTCCTCTATTTAATTGTATCAAAAACTAAATGTTTGTTTATTTGTTTATACAGAACTTCCAATTGTCTCGCTTTGTTTACAATTCTAATGTAACTTGCTTTTTCACACATATTATTGTTTGGACATGTATTTATGTATGTATGTATAATTGTAAGCATCTATTATGTTTCTATTGCCCTGTCTACTTTTGTCGTCTTGATTAGTGTTCACTTGATGCTGGCTGATGATGGTTGCTCAGTTGTCAACCGAAATGCATCGGTGAAAAACAATTAAAAACCCAATTTACAACAAACAAACAAATTGAGTTTTTATTATACGAAATTTTGCGGTCTATAAGGTTACACAAAAAAATTAAAAAACTGAACATTTTAGAAGTAACAGACTTTAGAATGGTGACACAATTCCCCCTAGACAGCATGCACTTAGTAGACTTGGGGGTTATTAAAAAAATTCTTAAATTTATTATTAAAAGAGCGAAAGTAACAAACATAAATGAAAAATTATATTTTATTGCTAATTATGTCCCATCAGAATTTAGTCGCATAGCTAGGAGCTTAGATGAAATAAATGCGTGCCAAATGCGAAATGGAAGCTCAGACTAAGCCATTGCGAGAGTGTAAAGTCGTGGCGAAAAAAATCGAGAGGTCTGTTTGTAGAATGACCGGTGAAATTCAAGATGGTAACTTGGATGACGTCGCAAGTTCCTTACCACTACAGTCTTCCAGCGCTGTAATAGAAATCGAAGAAAAATTAAAAGAGCCAGAATACGCGCAAGCAATGGTAAAAAATTACATAAATGTATGATTGCATACCTATTTACGAATTTAATTCTTAGCAATTATTTTCTAGATTACGTTTATCCACAAAATAAAGGGTTTGTCTGAGAACTTAAGCAGAGTTATCCGGAGCATTTTTTCTGACGATGTACTGGAGCTCTACAACTGGGACGGTACGTGGGAGAAAATTGTTGCTAGTGGACAAAATTTTCCGAGGTAAATATTTATGTTTATCTTTGAATATCTTTCTCTTATATTTAAGTAGATATTTTTAAAAAACAAGGCACGATGGAGTTTGAAAAGGCCATAAAAAAGGCAGTTGAGTTAAGCCACCACCGTGTTCACCAGAAAAAATGTTTAAACAAAAACCCAAGGAAAATAAGTAGATTTAAGATTATTTTTACAGTTAAATTTTCATCTAGTTTTACTACACCATCATTTTTTTTAAATAACATGAAATGAAAACTTAATTTTCAGTTTATACATGATTCGCCTTTATTAGCGAAAAATGTTTTATTCTATTTCATTTTGTTCAACTGTGCACTTGAATTAATTAATTAATTTTTTTTTTTGTCAATGTTATTGTGGCTTATTAACATTTAATTTTTCGTATTTTTATTGAGCTTTGTACGACGATTGTTTATAAGGAAAAATTGAAAAAGCAACAAAGTCGAAGCGGTAGAAGTTATAGCAGCTATTTCGAAGATCACCACATCTCCTCATCAGACTTCTTTTTTCTAGACTTCAGCAGGGATCGAACCTGCGTAATCGATGTTCAAAGTCAGAAGCGTTAACCACTGAGCTATGTACATCCCGTAAACTCTTGTTGCTAATTCATTTTCCTTATTCAACCATCTACTATCAAGTGCAGTTGATTTGCCGCTATTTAAACTCGACATCCCGTTTTTACATTTTCATTTCGTCTAACTGCCCAGTTGAACTCATATTTTTTTTACTCTACATTAAAGTGGTCCAAAAATGTATGTGAAAAAATGAGGTCGGATTTTTAATGCCGCCACCGCCTAGGATTGTTCTATACCGAAAGAAAATATACCCCTATTTTTTTAATTTGAAAAAAAAAATTAGGGAGTGCTCAAAGCGCTCAAGGTTTCCATGTATTTTATATGGGGAAAAAACAACTTTTCGTAGATATAGTGTAGAATTCTGGAAAATCATTATTTTTCAAACGCAGAACTTTGCTGATCTTCAGAAAATTCCCAGTAATAATGCCCAATTGTTTCATTAACCATTTTTTCATGCTAACTATATTTTATAGGTCCTCCAAAACCGCAAAGAAAATTAAATGGGGGGACGAATAAAAAATCTTTAATACTAGAACATGGTTAAATACACAATTGGATATTAATATTGGAAGTCTCCTGAAGAGAACCACAGTTTTCCGACCGAAAAATATCAATTTTCAAGAATTTTATATCATTTCTATGAAAAGTTCTTTTTTTCCCCATATAAAATACATGGAAAACTTTGAGCGCTGTGAGCACTCCCTAAATATTTTTTGATTTCAAAATAAAATAAATAGAGGTAGATTTTTTTCGGTTCAGAACAATCCTAGGGGGTGGCGGCTTTAAAATTCCGACTTTATTGTTTTTAGACCACTCTACTCTACATATGTATATACATATATAGGTTTTTTCTTAATACCGTAAGTTTGAACTACATAAGTTATTTTAAATGTCTATAAAATATACTAAAATAAACGAAAAAATCAAAAGTTTAGTACATACATTTGTACCATTTATGACAGGCTTTGATATCAAGCGTGAATTATCACAGTTGACTGGTATTTGCATCAAGCGTGAGTGATCACACTTGACTGATATTTCCATAAAGCATGAATGATCACATTTGACTGATATTTGCATCAAGCGTGAAAGATCACACTTGACTGATATTTACATCAATTGTGAGAGGTCAATTCTGACGGAGTAACTCATCAATTATGATGGGTCAATCTTGTCGGACAATGCTATCAATGTTGATTAGTCAATGTTTACATCTTGTATGATAAAAACTCGTGTGCTGAACTCTGTTGGAGTAAGCAGTGCAGATATCTGTTTATGGCTTGTAATAACTTATAAGTTAGAAAATAATGCAGCATCACACGTACACAAATTTTTCCGTCAAATTTAGCACACTGCGCTTTATAATTTGAAGGAAACTTGCTCTAAGGCAATGACTGAAATTTGCATCAATTTTGTAACTCATATGATCTATCAATTGACTGTCACTGTTCTTGTAGGGCAGGGATCAACACATACAAAAACGTGTTTGATTCCAAAAGTTTTTTAGTCTTTTACCTAATTAAATTCGAAATAAAAATTATCGCATGACACCCTAATGTCTAATAATTACTGTCTATGTTTCATTATTTAAATAATAAATAATTGCTGATTTATTGTCACTCCAGTACACATTAGGTCAAATGATTACTTTTTCTGTGCGAAATTAATAGCAGCTAAAATATTGCATTATTTTAATGTAAAAAGATAAACGTTAAAACCAGTGTAAAGGCAGTAAATAAAATGTTAAACAGACTTGGCTTTCGTAAAACAGACTTTACTGCTTTTTTGTATGTTCAAAATGATGAGTATATGTTTTTAGGTAGTACTCAAAAACATTGTCCCATTAGCTTGGTTTTGACACAAGCTATTTTCTTACCATACTCAACCCCCTCCCCTTTAAAATGAGCTACATAATAAAATAAGTATGGTCACATGTACATAAATGGTTTCATCTAGCCATTAATTATGGCATTATGGAAATTCCTAAATTAAAAAAAGAAAAATATTTACTACATGTCTCGCAGATATGTCTTGAGGAGAGATTCCTAAAGCAGTTAGTCTTCATAAAACACTTCATTTTCACTTGAGGTTTCAGTATTTCCAAATTTTCCACCGATATTATTTATATTCAGAATACAAATGGTGCTTTGTGACACATTTATCAACAACCGCTGGTAACTTCCTGAAAATAATACGAATGTTTATGAAACTAATTTGTTAAAAGAATGTTCAAAGCTTTATTCACTTTGATTAAAACAAATTCGAAATTTAAGTCCGTAAATTCTCTCAAGGATTTGCCTTTTTGCGAAGGCTGCTCATCAATGGCCTTTGCGAATCGGCGCTAGTGTATTTGTAACACAGCCTCGGCTACGCTACAGGATATGAAATGTAATCCAAATTGAGGCTGCTATTTTTTTTTTGCTATCACATACTTCCATTTTCTCTATTTATCGCCATTAAAATGGATTATTTATCACCAAAAAATGTTGGAGATAGCTAAACATTCGGAAAAAGGTTAGCTATCCTATTTTAGCACTTTAGCGATAGCGAAAGTTAGAATCCGGCTGATGGTCGACACAGTTGGCTTTCTGATTTCGAAAAGAACCTCATCAGCAAGAAACGCTATGTTTTCAGATTTAAATATTTTAGCATCCTTTCCAAATTGTTTCCCATAATTTTCATATTTATTTGATAAATAATTGCAAAAAATACGCGTTTTTTCTTCTAAGAGTTTCATGGAACTTTCGCAAATATCAGCAGCACCAAATTTTTTTCAACATGGTTGACAACCGAAAAGGCTTTTCTTTTTTTGAACATCCAATCAGCCAAACTTCAAACAACTTGCCTTTTGTCATAGCATGATAGCCCAGAAAAAACCGTTTTTCTTGAAAACGGCTACAGACGGCAAGATAAGTGAAACAAATTCAACTGCCAAAAGTAAACAAAATTGTAAAAGCTTACATAAAATCATAAACGGAAATAAATCAGAAAATTTTTGAGGTTATGCAAATAAGTCAGTTTTTTGCAAACAAATGATAAAAAGTCACTTTTTTGAATTGAGACCTAGGTTCTCACTTAGATATAGTTTTGTTTCCCATTTAAAATTTTCCTTTAGTTATTCGAAATTTACAAAAACAATGCACTTGAAATTTACAAAATAAACCGGTTGCGCAAACAACATATCAATAGCATTTTGAAAGTGTAACTTTGGTTTATTGCTGTATAACGGTGTTTTTTATTTTACAAAACTAGGTTTCTGTTATTTTGGAGTATGCCCTACAGAATGGCAACAAAAAATAATGTAAAACTGCCTTTACGAAATTGGACTTTCGCACAGCCAGATGTATCATTTGACCTAACGTGCAGTACTACGATTTTAATAAAGTACTAAAAAGTAGTAAGGGGTATCAAAATATTCCCTTTTCTACTAACCTCAAATACATGACCGGAGTATGAGGGCCAACAAATAGTACAAAAACAGCTTCTGATGTCCCCTTGTTTTTATTTCACCATGGTTCGGGCTATAAAAGATGCAGAAATTTCCATTATTAATTTACATACCTAATGCCAGTACGAATGGGAATTGCCTTAAATTTCCATTTTAATTAAAGTTACCTGATGACAGTACGAATGAAAATTCCAATGATTGATTTCGCGTGTTATTCTATTAATTATACATAATAGATTTAAGATCAAGTGAATTTAAGACTTAAAAACTATAAACTCGCTTTTATTAAAATGTGAACTTAAAAGTAACAAATAAAACTAATTCAATTCAACTTTTAAAACCAACCTAAAGTAGTATTAAAGTAATTGTCAATAAAATTAATTTTACCGGAAACCAAGCCTGGGGTGCCTCTTACATTTTGTAGTCCTTGTTGGCGCGGTTTGGCGGTTATATATAAAGATTTTGTAATTTGGTATGTTGGCAACCATAAATGTATTCCGAATTTTTGTAAAAATGTATGTAGGTGGCAACGCTTTGCCAAAAAAATGTAACCGAGGTTTCAGCCATTATGTGCTGTGAAAATAGCGGCATTCGTGACTGATATACCGGGGAGAACACACCAAAGTGTAAGTAATTGTCTATTTATAATTTGTTAATAATTGTATACTTCCTAAAGGAAATAAAACGAATCCAACACGTCCGCTTATATGAAACACCATTGGAAACCCATGGTCAGCGTTTAGTCAAAGTTCCGAGCTACATATTTTTCAGCATTTTGAAAGTTCCACCATCAAGGGGTGGCATGCATACATACATAAGCGCCAGTGCACTACAAGCTCCACCATCAAGGTGTGGCATACATACTAAAGCGTACAACAAGTTCTAGCGTCGAGGGCATACATAATTTTCAAGTTAAGCCTCCAGAATTTCACCGGCTCCATCATCAGCGTTGTAGCAAAAGTTAATTTCCAGCACGGAAAGTTCAATCATTAAAGCACCACGTTATCGATGTCAACGTGGTTATTATAAGCATATTGAACAGAAGCAGGAGCTACAGGCGGAGTTAAGGCGGAGCCAAAAAAGACAGCAAGAAATATTAACGGGAGCCTCTAGAGCACCTAGCAACGTGGGAGTTGAAAGCTTTAACGGCTCGCTTGCGGACGTATTGAGCGATCTTAAGAGAACATTGGCAGATACTCGATCTGGTCAAGGTCGTAAGCTGTACGATCTTCCACAATTTGATGGGCATCCTGAAGACTGGCCCATGTTTAAAGAGGTGTTTACTATAACAACGAATGAATATCGCTACAGTGAGCGACAAAGGTAAGAGAGGTAGTAGAATGTATTTTAATTCATAGTACTAACGTTCGCGTTATTAGTACCCTGGAAGATCGCTTCGGTAGACCAGAGCAGCTGGTAAAAAGTCAAATCGGGAAAATACAAGATGTTGCGCCAATACATGAAAACCTCATCAAGCGAATAGTGCCATTCGCCACTAAGGTTCAAAACTTAGCATCGTTTTTGGAGTCGGCTAATTGTGATCATCACCTAGCGAACCCGACACTCATGGATGAACTGTTGGCGAAGTTGCCAATGCAGAAGAGGATCGACTGGTCCCGGCATGCCTTGACGATAGTACCGAGGCCGAAAATACGCCATTTCAGCGACTGATTGCAAGAGCTTTCGAGATTGGGGGCAAGTGCTTGTGTTAATACAAACACGGATCACAGGCAGAGCGGAAGTGCGGATGGTCGAACGCGCTTCTTTCACACCCAGGACCTTAACGGTGGCAATCGCGGTAGGAGCATATGTGTGGTGTGTGAAGGCGAGCACGTAATAGGCAGGTGCAAGAGGTTTCTGGATATGCAGTGGGGTCAACGATGGCGTCTGGTTCGGCAAAAACGATTGTGTTTTAATTGTCTGAGGAGTGGACACAGTAGCAACAACTGCACCGAGCAACATAATTGTAACATAAACTACTACATGCTAGGCGGCAGGAAATGGCAAACAGGCAGCGTTCATCGGAAGCAGCAAAAATACAACAAGTTCTCACCAGTGCCATTATACCAAACCCAAGTTCGAAATTGCTATATAAAATATTGCCAGTTCGGTTGTACGCCAACGGTCGAGTTATAAACTGCTTTGCTCTCTTTGATGATGGTTCGGCGATATCGATGATGAACAGTGACTAGGCTGGCCGCCTCGGTATTAAAGGGCAGAAGGAGAATTTGACGCTGCAATGGTTTGGCGACACTACGGCAACGGAGCAGTCCAGCAGGGTCGATGTGCAAATATCCGGAGTCGGTAGGTTCAATAAAAGGTGTTGTTTGCGGAATTTCAGAACGGTGAGCATCCTTCAACTGGCTGCACAGATACTCCAGCTGTCAGAGATGCCGTATAAATATCGTCATTTGCCGATCAAGAAATACGATGGAGCGGTTCCTGAACTGTTGGTCGGGTTAGACAACGCACACTTGAGCATCTCAAGGAAGACTGTTGCTGATGGAGTGAATGGCTACTCGGTGACACTTACGAAGCTCGGCTGGATTGTACATGGAGGCAGGAATCGAGGTATTGGAAAACGGTGCAACTACGTGTACTTTGCTAAAGTGGACGATAACAGTTTGGAGAGCCTGGAGCGCATGGTGAGCGATTATTTGATCAACGAAGGTCTTAGTGTACGCGAAGGGGTGCAGGACTTTGAAGCTGCAGATATAGTCAAAGCTAAAGAGTTGCTTAACAGCACGACAGTGAGAAAGGTTTCTAACTTCGAGACAGGCTTGCTTTGGAAGCAGGATAATGTAGAACTACCAGATAGCAGGAAAATGGCAGAATACAGGTTGTTAGCTCTGGAAAGGAAATTTAACCGCAATAATAACCTCAAGACAGCATATGTGAGAGAATACAGGGAAAAGGGGTATTCAAGAAGACTGACAACGGATGAGATCACGGGTGGAGGGAAACACCTGGTATCTATCCCACTTCGGAGTTTGGAATGCGAATAAGCCAGGAAAGATGCGACTAGTTTTCGACGCTGCTGCTGAAGTCAACAGTAGACTGGACCTTAATCAATCCCTAGCAACAAGTTTTCATGAAATTTAGACAGAATCCGGTGGGTGTATGTGCGGACATAGTGGAAATGTTCCACCAAGTAAAGATACACGCCGAGGATCAAGCAGCACAACGTTTACTATGGAGAACTGGCCCTAAACACCCCATTGCGGTATACGCTATGAACGTGATGACATTTGGAGTCTAGGGAACGGTTCCCCGAAGCGGTCGAGGCCATAGTCAGCAACCACTACGTCGACGATTTTGTCCACTGAAGAGAATGCTATTCGATTGACTGAGCAGGTAGCGTACGTGCACAAAAGAGGGGGTTTGGAACTAAGGCGATTTGTGTCCAATTCTGAATGGCTCACCAAGAAGATGAATGAAGAGGAAACGCGCTCGTCTTGTGTAAACCTTGAGATAGACAACGCAGGCCTTTTTCAGAAAGTACTTGGCTTGCACTGGGATACTAATAATGACGTTCTGAGATCTGTGCTGTCGTTCACGAAGGTGGATCCGGTTGTGCTCGCTGGCAAGAGGGAACCAACAAAGCGCGAAGCAATGAGTGTTACAATATCGGTGTTTGATCCATTCGGTATGCCTGGCGAATACACCATGGAAGCGAAGCTTCTCATCCAGTCTAATTGGGCGTGCCAGTATCGGTTGGGACGAATATATTCCGGAGGAATCAAGTGTCTTGAACAGGAACCAGTTGAATTGCAAATTTTTTCGGACGCGAGCGAAGTAGCCTACGCTGCAGTAGCGTATTGGAGGACGTTAGCTGGAGCAGGTATCACTAAACCTATATTCATTGCAGTAAAGACTAAATGCGTGCCGTAGAAACTTACATCTATCCACCGTCTCGAGCTGCAGGCAGCAGTATTGGCTACACGACTTCGGCAGAGCATCCTTCACTGCCATGACAAGATACCAAAGAGAGTGGTGATGTGGAGTGATTCCAAAGTAGTTTTATCTTGGATAAAGTCCTACCAAAGCGTACGTAGCTCACTTTGGAGCACTTGAACCCAGCTGATTTTGGTCCCCGACCAAGTGCAGATAGAAGGAAATCGACCTGGATTGACGGGCCAAGGTTCCTAGAAGAAGACGAGTTCATGTGGCCGCAGGACGAGGTTTCCTTAAATACGAACGAGGAAATCCGCGCAAAATATGCGGTGCTGACGATAAATGTCGACGTTCCCATGTTTGTAAGATTTTCGATGCTGATACGACGATTAGACAAACAGTCGCAGTGAACAGACGTGCTCTTACGCACTCCGTGAAATAATCATTTAAAAGTAATATTACGGCCATTAAAAAAATCAAAACTCAACTTTAGTGGTTATTACTTTGGTGGTAATTACTTTTTCAAGTTATAGCATCTTGCATAGTTGGGAGTTTTCCTTGCCAAATGCTGGTGTATTAATATTCTGGTGCTGAGTTATCTGCCCACCACTTCTACAGACGTCACTGCCGCTGCTTTCTCTACATTATCGCTGACTCTGTCTCTGCTTTCGCTCCTGTCTTTGACGCTACATTTGCTGATATCCTTCCTACACTCTTTCCATTGCTGTTGCTGTGTTGCTGTGAACTTCCATTGGAGATAAGCTGCTCACTACATAACATGACGACGCGCACTAAATCTGGTCGCCTGGTAGGTACCCACCGCACAAATCAACACCCCAACTGAAACCGTGCAAAGCCCGCCATCGCCTGCATGGCGATCACGTTTGGAAAATAAAATCGAGAGTATAGTGGAACAGATAATCACTCGTATGAAGTAGGTGGAGGAGCGGGTAATGCAGAGGATAGGAGAGATAACTGCTGATCTGGCCAACGTCAAGCTGAGTATGAGCAGTTTCGAGGTCAGAATAGATACGGCTGAGCATGTTAGTGCACAAATTATGATTTTACGTAATGACCCTGTAGGGAAAACACGAACTAGTGAACCAGATTTCTAGTTCAGTACTAGTTCTTTTTTGCCAAAAACGAACCAGGCCGATGTAACTAATTCCGCACCAGTCCAAAAGCAGTGAAATGTGGTACTTTCACTAAACTATTCTATTTTAAATTTTAAAAGCAGGGAAGGTAATCATTATGAGTAAAGTAATTTAAATCAGCAATTAATCATTATTTTACGAATTATTATTGAGTTTTATTTTTTCGCTCAAACGGAAATAATTATTATTTGATTTTTATTTTTGGCATTACAAATAATGATTATTTTATGATTTTTATTTTTTCGCGCAGAGATTATCATTAATTTTCAGTTTTATTTTTCCACTTAAAAATAATGATAATTTATAAAATTGAAAAGGCCATAAAGAGGCAACCTACTGAAATTTTTACCTGAAAAGTTTGGGTCTTATTCCTTTTATAAGGGTGCGGCTACCTCTTAAAAGGATACGACAGTAATCACGCTGGTATAGTTTTTGAGTTGCTTAATAATCATTATACTTAGTGATTCCATAAACAAAGGCCAAGATCCTGAAGGGCAATTGAGAAAGGCAATGCAGTTGCAGAAAAAGAGGCATTTAAAAAAAAAGTGTCAAAATAATTATCACTTTCTCACTAAATTTATTTAAAAATGCAAGCCACCAGAGCTACCTTTTTTTTAAGAAAAGACAAATTAATTATTTTTTATGCAATCCAGCACAGCTACCTTAATACAGTCAGTCAATAAAGTTTAGGTACAACGAATTTTTTACAATACGGGCAACTATTTTTTAAAAAATATCAAAAATCATAGTTCCAAGCCTTGTGCAAAATTTAAGAAAATTCTGCAAAATTTCATTAAAATAATTCACTTTCTATTTACGCTCTCTAGAAAAAGTGGTTTAGCCCATTCAATTTCAGTATAATGAAGTGCAAGTGTGAGGAAGCTAGGACTTACCAACAACAAAACAAAATATTGCTAAATATCAATGGTAAGTCCTACCTCAAATTTTGTTATACTAAAATTGAATGGGCTAATAACTGAGTACTTAACTTGGTTCTAAAGAGTGTAAATTGCAACACTTGGATGGAAATTCGCACAGTTTTCTTTAATTTTGCATAAGGTTTGGAAGTCTGATTTTTGAGGTTTTTGGTGTAGAATTAACCATATTTTTATAAAAAATTAGGGGAAAAAAATATTTAAAAAATAGTTGCCGGTATTGTAAAAACTTCACTGTACCTAAACTTTATTGACTGACTGTATATCTTATTTAAGTTAAGTACGACAACAACTTTCGAAGTACATCTTATACATATAAGCTTAAAAAGAACTGAATTTACTTAAAAATCAATATGCTTAAATTTAGAGAAGTAAGGCAAAGTGAACTAATATTTTTACTTTTGAGCAGAACGCACTTTTGTTTTTTACTTACTACTTAAGTTTAATACTACTACTACTACTAATGTGGTTTATAAATTTTTAATAAATGCGTTTAAACATTTGTGATGGTATTGTCCTTCCTTCAACCGATCGTATTTAATATAAAAGGGAAATGTTTCGACAAGCCTGATTAGAAATATATATCTAAGGTGACGAATTTATAACAGGTTGGGAACTACACATAAAAAATGGGTGCAGATCGAACTAGATCCCGTCTGTCGAATTAGGAACTGGTTTAGAACTAAAGAAGAGGGGATGCAGAACGAACTAGATCT